GGCGTTCCAAGTCTAGTTTATTAAATTAAATTTTTGTTAATCTCTCAGCAAAATACCCATATGTATTTAACCAGATGTGCATCCACGTGCAACAAGTAATTTATTCATTGGCCAACAGTGCTTAATGTCCATATGGATTTACAGACACCTCTCAGGAAGTCTGCAGGCCTCAGACAGAGAAGATCTATGGATTGGGTATCACTGGTCTCAGAATCCTTCCAACCCTGTGTCCTATAATTCCATGTCCAGAGAAGTGAAGCTGATGACTTGCACCTCTCCCATCTCATGGGGGTTTGCCAAGAGTCGGTGAGAAAATGAATGTGAAGAGTGCCATGTCCATGTATGTTGCTATTCTTATTATAGCTACAATCTGGGTAGTTTTCAGGAAATAGGGAAGGGCTTTAAGCTGGATTGCCACGGATGGTTGTATGGGTGTGCACTGCTCAAGAATATCATACCCCAGGAAGTGCTATTCACTTCCTAGACATTGTAGATTTGTAGATTTATGATAGCAGTTTTCTACCTGGTGGCAGTAAAGAGTCCTGAGAAAGGGGCTCCTTTTTGTTTTTGTACAAAGGTGAGGTGTGGGCTGTTAGAGGCTCTGCCTTCTACAAAACTGAATAGTTTGAACAGCTTGGCTCAGATGGGCAGTTTGCCACATGTCCATTATCTACATGCATGCCCAACAGGGCTATAAACACAGCCATTGGACATTGCATGGAACACATGGCCAAAGGGGAGAGAGTGTTAAAATCTAGACTCACTCTTATTACCCTCACTGGACACTGTATTGCTATGTTGAACATGGTGATCACTGTGGGGTAGGACTGGAGAGGGAGTGAAACCAAGGGCAGAGAGGCCTTGGGCACTTAGCTGGGACTGGCCTCAAACCTGAGGCAAAGTTTTAGGAAGTTCGACAAAGCATATTCTACAAGTCATTTAGTTTTATTGCTGATTCTAAGAAGTGGGGGAGAAGTGATCTATTTATGGATTTATTTTAGTGTTCAGGAACACAGCCTCCAAATGCAAAGGATCAGAATCAGTTTTGAAATGAGGGTCAGGAACCTTCTGTACATAGTTTCTTAGTTGGGATGATGTTCTTTCAGTTGTATGTGTATTTGGTATGAGTCTCTGATGCTGGTGTCTGAGTCTCATTTTTGTCCTGTTATTTAAGCAAATAAAGAAATTGACTTGCACCAAGGTCTCATCTGGATGATTCACAACGGTGGCAAGATGGGAGGCCACCTGCCACATCTGGGCCGGTCTGGCATCTTCGAGACTGTGAGCGCCAGCCTCCCTGTCCCCGCCTGGGGGCCCTCTCTGGTTGCTTCCCAGGTGTCCCCCTCTTGGGATGTCAACTTATTGAGACAGTAATGGAGTGCCCTGAGCATCAGGAGACCTGGGTTTTAGTCCAGCTCCCTGCAGGCTGAGGCCCTCAGGGACATGATACTTGCCTCTGGACCTGACATTCTCCCACTCTGTGACTGTTAAGATGACAGTTAATGGTGTGTCCAGGAACATCTGGGTCAGTCTTGAGTCTACATCATCTGTTTTATTAAGTCCCTAATTTTGGTGCCCAAACTGTCACTCAGAACCAAGGTAAAAAAGGACAGAATACAGTGTCTGGGTTTTGGTCTAGAGAATGCGGTCTCTGCTGAAAGGCATTGAAGGCCTCCTCTCTTGACTCTCAGGTAACACGTGAGTCCTTCCAGCGGCTCCCTGGGGAAGGCGGCCTTCTGGTGTACATAGTACACAGGTTGTCTTCTTTCCAAGCCACCTCTCCGCTCCCAAACCTTGGAGGCTCACTGTAATGCTCTGAGGGGGGCAGGAGAGGGCAGCACCTCACTTCATAGACGTGGAGGCTGGGGCTCAGAATGAGCGGATGCCTTGTTCAAGGTCACGAGGCCACCTACAGACAGAACCAGGCCAGGATCCAGCTCCCAGAACCCCCGTTTTAGTGCCTTCCCGAACTGTCTAATCCTTTAGTTCATTCACTCAACCAATATTTACTGAGCATTTACTACGTGTCAGGTCTGATCTAGCTCAGTGCAATACACACATGCAAAAGGCACAATCCCTGCCCTCGGGGTGCTCATGGACCTCACTCGTTATAGGGATTTTGCGCCAGTAGGAATATAGGGTGGCGGAGACACCATTGTGCGAGAGCAGGCGGGGCTCCCTCAACTCACACCATGGAGGTTCTCAAGAGCAGTGAGGTGCATGGGAGACCCCGCTGCTTTGAAAGGCTTTGAAAAGGTGGGTAAGTGCCATCAGGACATAATTAACCTAATTTCTGACCCTGAGAAGTCAGGAGGCTAAGCGAGTAAGTCAGAGATAAATGGGTCAGCCAAGACCGGGTTGAGTTTGGGATGTGCACTGAGTTACAGGGAGGGCTGCTGTAGAGGTTCGGATATGCTTGTTTGGAAGACCAGAGAGTGTTCTGCCCCTGGCCTCCGCACCAGTGAGACCTCCAATTTCAGAGTACAGTGACTGGCACATCAACAACAACAACAACAACAACCCACTAGTGTTGGCTTTAGAAAAAAAAAAAAGGCATTATAAGGAGAAAGGAACTAATTAGAGTTGCCAAATTTAGCAAATAAAAATATGGGTGGCCTAGTTAAATGTGAATTTCAGACAGACAACAAATAATAGCAATACTGGGGTCTTCCTCATACTAAATATTTACTGTTTATCTGAAATTCAAATTTAACACGATGCCCTGTATTTTATCTAGCAACCCCGGAACTAATGCAAGAAGAGTTCTCTTATTTACTCTGTAATGGGAAAAAGGGAAATAAGCAAAATGAAGGAGAATATACAAGGGGATTTATCCATACCTGTAACTGTAACATTACTCTAACATAAAGGCATCTGAGCTCTAAATACAGGCTTTAACTTAGAACAACAATGATTGTTATGTTCAATACCCCTTTGCACACCAGGTAATAAGCATTCCAGAGTTGTGCAAGACTGAAACCCTCCCCCTCCTCCCGTTCACATGTCTCAAGACCTCGGGGGCTGCAGCTGCCAGCAAACCGCAAGACCACTCCTGGGGGGAAACGCCAGGAGACCGCAGCCAGGTGGGCCACTCCAGGTGGGACCTGTCTTTCCCCACCCACGTGGCCCCCAGGATGCTTCCCTTGACTGGTCCGAGCCACAGATTCAGAGTATCAGAGGAGGCAGAGGGTGAGGGAACACCCGAGGTTTGATTCTTTTCAGCCTCTCAAAGGTACAGTTAGTTAGTGATGTAGGAAATGTTGGGGTTCGGAGCTGATGGCCAAGAAAGAATTCTTGAGGCGTCTTCGGTGCCAAATGGTGGTTTTATTAAGGCACGGGGACAGGACCCATGGGCAGAAGGAGCTGCCCTGGGGTTGTGAGGGGTGACTGATTATATACTTTCAAGTTGGGAGGGGGTTGGGGACAGCGCAGGCCTCCAAAGTATTTTGGAAACAAGGTTTCCAGGATCCTGAGGGGGCTAGAGGGGGCTAGCTATTGTTAGGAAAAGGTCATTTATTACTGTTTAGTAAAAACTTGGTCATGAGCCCCTTCAGATGTAGATCAGTGGGCCATATGCCTGGAGGATGATTGCCAACATGTATCTTGGGGGGTAGAGGTAAAGGAAGTTTCCACAGGAATTCTTAGATGTTAAAGTAGACTCACAGGATCCTGCGGGGTGGGGGTAAGAAGATGGCCTTTTGCCCTTAGCAAAGTGTCAACACTGAGGCAGCTGAGCTCCCAGAGGAAGGTCACTCTGCCTGTTTCAAGGACTTGTCAATGGGCTGTGAGCAGTAAGGAAATTTAATTTTTTCTTTTGTCTTTGTTTTCCATTTAGGTTCTTCCTGGCGGAACTCTCTTAAGGGTGCCTGTGTGGACTCCTGCTCCGTGACAGGGTCCCCTTAAATGTAGGCTCCAGCAGGCCCCCTTGTCACAGCCTCCCACCCTCCGTGGCTAACATTTGCATGCATCCCCCAGAGGCCCCAACCAAGGTCAGGGCTGTCTTGCACCCCGTCCTCTGGGTTTTGCATTCCAGGGTTTGCTAAGCAAATACATCTGAGGCCTGTGGGCAGCCCGGGGTTCGTTACTGGGCCTGGATGGGGCTGGAAGTTATCTGCACTCCAGCAAGCAGTGGGGCTCATTTTTTTTCTGGATGGGTTGAAAAAATTGAAGCTGAAGGTGTCTTTCTCATGGAACATTTTCACTGAGATGTGAACAGCAGATGGAGTCTGCCCTCCTGCTGGGGGATGGGGAGGGAAGGGACATTTGGCCTCCCGTTTCCTCTACAACCACACCGGGACTCAGGGGAGGCCAGGGCAGCCTGCTCAACATGCGGCACCACACAAGCCCTGGGGAGCTTTTAGAGAGCTCACGCCTGATCGGCTCCGCAAGTGATTCTGGTGAGCAGCCGAGACAGTCCAGTGGTTGCAGATCAAGCCTTTGGTCCACTGTGAGAATTAAAAACAAAACAAAACAAAAGAACTTGGTCTCCTGACACCACATCAGAGAGGAAAGTGCATCAACCCCCAAGACTTTAGCCTGAAGACTAGATCCTGGGGGGCCAAGGATGGATGCAGTCTATCTGGAAGAAGCAAACTCAGGCTGAGGCTGGGAGGAAGGCCCAGAGCCCAGCCAGCCAGGAGCAGGATGTGCTGTGGGCTTTTCAGAGCCCATCTGTGTTGGTGTCCATCTGTTTGTCCAGAGCAGAGTAGGGGAAGGGCTGGAGGAGCGCAGAGAAGCTGAGAGGATGTTTAGACAAGGAGGTGCTTGCCCAGGAGAAGCAGGACCCTCCACACCAATAGGCTTGGTAGTGGGTGACACCTGGTCCCCCAAAGGCCTAGGGTGAGGGGGATGCGTCTGAGAGCCTTGGGGAGAAGGCTCTACCTTGAGGTCATCATGTTCTCTCCCATTCCACTCAAGTTCTCTCCTTGTTCACAGCTTCCCAGAAAAAGGATAGAGATTCATCATTTCTAAGTCCCTCATCGAGGACTTTCCTCCCCTTATTTCCGCTGAGAACATCCCTCACAGCTTCCTATGTGTCGGGCAGCCCCAAGCAAGTAGCCAGGCCCCATTCTAGCCAGTCTGATGCGTGGAAATTGGAAATCTCAATTTGTATAAAAAAAATCAGTTAACAAATCCCACTTTATTATACAAGGTATTTTTTTTGTTTGTTTTGTTTTTTGCAAATGGAGAATCCCATTTGCAGAGCAGGAGTTGATAAAAGAGTGTTTGAAATATTATTCGATTTACAAAAGTCTGATTAATATTTGTTTTTTCAGGAAGGGGAAAGAAGTAGAGTGACCTCCAGAGCGCTGAGCGCAGTTGTCTAGACTGCAGACTGCACAAGGAGACCCTGCCAGTACACAGGGGAGGCATCTCATGGACGTATTTATGCCGCATGTTATTTGTACAGTTTTCTGTGTTATTTGTACAGTTTGGTAGCTTTGTATGACATTCATACAGATTTCTAGCAGGTGGCGGCCAACTGTTTTAACAAAATCAGTATATTATCACAATCTTCCGGCAGCTGGCAATCAAGTGCTCCAGGAAAGGGTACAGTTTTCTTAGCGCACAAGGCAATATATGGGTTAGTGCTGGCTTTGACTATGACCAGGAAGAGGTGGGTGGGGTCAGAAAGGAAACTGGGGGACGGAGCTCAGAGGTCACCGCAACATCTGGGAATAGAGCAGGCACCTGGGCAGTTCCACACCTCAGGGTCGCTGTATTCCTGGATCCAGCTGGGGTGAGGCCTGTAGGTGACCCAAACTGTCTTGGAAGTGGAGAGACAGAGAGAAGTCGAGTGGGCAGGGAGCAGACCTGGACATGAGACGCCGAGAAATCACACGTGAGGAGAAATGAGACAAAAAGGGGGGGAGAAAAGGGGGAAATGGGAAGCCCCGAGTTTCAAGGACTCTTCCATCTGCTGTGTGACCCTGGTCAGTCATTGGCCCCCTCGAGGGAATTGCAGGAAGACTCTTGCAGAGCCCACCTCAGAGAAATGCTGGCATGAGGACCTGTCCATTCTTGGATGGTTTTCAACTCTGACTGTGTCATTCTGTTTAATCCCTGTAATGACTCCCCAGCACCACAGGTGAAGTCCAGGTGCACTTTGTTAGCATGGCCCCCAAGCCAGCCTGCCCTATCCCTGCCATGTCTGCCTGTGCACCTCCAAGTGCATCCCCAGGCCTCTCCCTGCCCAATCAGACAAAGTAGACTAGACCCTGTGACGTCCGATTCACTCCAGGGCTCCTTCGACCCTGGGAGGCTATATCACTTGGTGCTCGACACCAAGACATTGGTGACAGACAACTTGGATTCAGATCCTGGCTCTACCATCTACCTACTGTGTGACTTTGGGCATGTTGCTTACCCTCTCTGTGCCATAATGCCTGGACCATAATAACTACTTGGTAAGTTTTAGCTATTATCATTACATTCCCATTTGCATAGGGGGAAATTCCATAGTAACTCAAAGGGGGGCTCTCTAGCCATAGAAATGGTAGAAATCAGAAGAGTCTGACAGACTTAGTAGCTGTTGAGAGGATTTGAGTAGCAATTAGCAAGAGGGACCTCCTCCTTTTCCTTTGGGGGCCTCTGGCAGTCCCTGAATTTCTCAATCTGTCTTGCCACTTTGAGGCCCCTTACACAACCCGAACCAGATGGCCACTGAACTCTTATGGGAGGAGAGCTGAGGCTAGCAGAGGAAAGCCAGGCTGACACATATATCTAGCCATGCTCCAGAGGCAGAGCGTATTTGGCACATCTGCTGGTCCTGGAATGAAAGGGACGGGAGCAGACTCGACCCCAGCCTGTAGCCTAAGCAGAGCTATCCCAGACAGCTCAGAGAACTCTGAAAGAGTAAAAGAAGCATCTGTTTTGGAATCCACTGAGATGGGGGGGGTTGTTATGTAGCATTATCAAACTGCAATTGCTGACTAATACAACCAGCATCAGAGTATTAATTTGAACATCTGATTTAAAAAACACAGAGGGAGGGGCACCTGGGTGGCTCCGTCAGTTAAGCGTCCGACTCTTGATTTTGGCTCAGGTCATGATCTCAGGGTCATGAGATGGAGCCCTGCATCGAGCCCAGCAACAGGCTCCGTGCTCAGCACAGAGACTACTTGAGATTCTCTCCTTCTTCCTCTGCCCCTCCCCACCCCAGTACTCTCTCTCTCTCAAATAAATAAATAAATAAATAAATAAATAAATAAATAAATAAATAAAATTTTTTAAGAAACATGTTGAGAGAGAGAGAGAGATTAATGTATGGAACATCAACCCTGTAGCTTTTATTCTAGCTTCTCCCCTCTTTATTCGGAAGAATATCGGCTGAGGGCCAGAAGTTGCACAGGATTAGCCCATGGACGTGACAGGGTCTCTTGTGATTGTACTCTGTTAGGAAATGAGCAGATTTCTTCTCTTTCTGGATCAGTCCTCCTCTCTGCCTAACCTTTTTGAGCTTCTCTTTTCTTTTCTTTTCTTTTTTTTTTTTTAAAGATTTATTTGAGAGAGAGAATGAGAGAGCATGAGAGGGGGGAGGGTCAGAGAGAGAGGCAGACTCCCCGCTGGGCAGGGAGCCCGACGTGGGACTCGATCCCAGGACTCCAGGATCATGACCCGAGCCGAAGGCAGTCGCTTAACCAACTGAGCCACCCAGGCGCCCGAGCTTCTCTTTTCTACCCTCTACCCTGGTCTTTGAAGCTCAGAGCAGTGAATTTGTATGGAATTGCCTAAGAACGTCAACTGGCAAACTGCTTCCAGGCAGTTTCATAATCTGTTCTATAAAGGATCACCGCAGACGGCATGTGTGACCTACTGTGTTTCCCACAGCTGTGAATGTTGTTTTGTTTGTTTTTATCACAGTCTGCTTCTTTATAAAGTACCTTGATTCCTAGAAGTTTATCGACCAAGGGAGCTCTGGCTGAATTGCATGGGTCCCACTGCCCCAATGTACAGGAGGGGGCCTGGCCCTGGAATGAAGGGCCTCAAGTCTGGGCCTGGCTTCTAGACAGCACTCCCAGCCCCAAGGAAGCTTCTCCAACCCCACAGCAGACCTGCCTATGTTCTCCTGACCACACTTGACCTCGAGCTCCTAGAGACAGAGATACAGACACTCAAAAAGTCAAAGAAGCCTTGGGGCTGGAGACCAAGGAACAGAGCAAGACTAATCCCAGGATTCACTAATTCCATGAGCCCCAAGGGGACTGCCAAATGCCCACTGGATTAAACGATGGGCACCTCCAGAAAGTGACCCACGTGTCTGCCCCACTTCCTGCAGCAGCTGAGAATCTCCTTCCCACCATACTGCTTCCTCCCACCCACAAAGTACCTACTTGCCCAGACCTCAAAGTGGGCCTGTGGCTGCTAGGGTGAGATTCTGACCCTCATCTGTCTGATACATCTCTCTGCCCACCTGGGATCCCCACCTGGGACAGGAACAACACAGAAGGATGTCACTTAGAATGATTTGGGGATTTTCCTGACCAATGAAGGCTTGAAGCAAAGTAGATAGCAGTGTGCGTCTGTTCCATTCAGAGAATATTTTGATAATCCCGTAAAATAGTTGAGGATGATTCCTGGCTTGGTTTGCGTTTGAAGCTTGCATTTTTCATTTGTGTGTATGTGTGTATGCATGTCTCTTTAAAAAACAAGGTTACAGGGCGCCTGGGTGGCTCAGTCGGTTAAGCGACTGCCTTCGGCTCAGGTCGTGATCCTGGAGTCCCGGGATCGAGTCCCACATCGGGCTCCCTGCTCGGCGGGGAGTCTGCTTCTCCCTCTGACCCTCCTCCCTCTCATGCTCTCTGTCTCTCAATCTCTCTCTCAAATAAATAAATAAAATCTTTAAAAATAAATAAATAAATAAATAAATAAATAAATAAATAAATAAAAAACGAGGTTACAGTTCAGTAAAAAATTAAGACTTGGTTCTTGTCTTTGGTCTAAAGTTCAATTTTGGGGTAAACTCTTAAAGTTGGGAATCGAGAGGTGCCTGAGTGGCTCAGTCGGTTAAAGCGTCTGCCTTTGGCTCAGGTCACGATCTCGGGGTCCTGGGATGGAGCCCCATGTCGGGCTCCCTGCTCGGCGGGGAGCCTGCTTCTCCCTCTACCCCCTGCTCATGCTCTCTCTTTCGTGATCTCTCTCTCTCAAATAAATAAAATCTTTAAAAAAAAAAAAAAAAAAGAAAGTTAGGGATTGAGTTCAATTCATCTTTGCTATTTCTAGAGCCCAGAAGAGTGGTTGGCACTCATTAGGTGCTCAATAAAGGTTAACTGATGGAACCAATGACAAGGTAATATAACCAAAAAGCTGTAAGAAGCAGGCTTACACTAGTTAGGGCTTTTAGTTGTAGGTTGGCAACAGTTTGGATCTCTATATGTTCAGGGTCACATGGTTACACACCTGTCTAGTTTGGTTTTTAAATAAAGTTCTATTCAGAAGCTGAGAAGTCCTAGTTAACCTCTGCATATAACCCTAATATCTGCTAAATTATTGAGTGCTAATTACACGTCATGCATTCTGCAAAGCAATTTACATGTTGACCTCATTAAACCCTCACAATATTATCCCTATTTTATAGATCAGGAAATAGATGCTTAGAAAGATCACATGTCCTAAGCATGATCACTGAGTAAGATTATGGCAGAGCAGGGAATTTATGTTGGGTGGGTCCGACTCCAAAGTCCAGTTCCTAACACCTGCTCTTGCTGACTCTTCCTCTACCCCTTGTGATCTTCCTGCAGACTCTTTCCAAAGCTTTTCTTCCCCATGGAACTTGAGAAACATTAGTCATGCTCACTGCATTTTGCCGCCTGTTTTTTTGGATGGTGGGTGTCTTGGGAAGCCTTTTCTGGTGCTACTTGTCTTTTGTTTGTTCTTCTTGAACATCTTGCTCATCCAGTTGGAGTCTTCAGTAGGGCTCCCCATGGGCAACAGACGAAGTAAATAGTTTGTTAATGACCTTTCCTGTGTCCTCCACTATCAGGGCCCTGCTCCAGCTCAGAGGGTAGACAGATACACCAATGCTACGGCTTTTAACCCTAGCTGAACACCAGAGTTCCACAGCAAACATTTGTTTTATAATCAATGACCATTTATCTAAGTAACATCATGCCAATGAGTCAACTGAAATTCAACTGAACTTTTATAAGTTATATGTCAATGCAATAAAGTTTAAACCCTGTGAACAAAATGCATAGTATATGCCCAAGCACAAAATTTTTAAATTTACGTAAACTCTTTCAAAAAGTTTTATAATTAAAATTATACTTAATGTGAGAAGCAGGTATGTTTTAATATATTTGATATGATATGGAGGTGGAACATCAAAAGGACCTGCTCTCCCAATAGCTGCTGCTGTGGCCATGGAGAACCCCAGCCACTGCCCGAACTGCCCCAAGGGAGGAGAGATGAGGTTGGGGAGGGGAGAGATACTCTTTGACCCACCTTCTGATCTCCTGCTGGTGCCTTCCGTTGGCTAACCCAATTGGCAAGAAGCCAGCAAGGGAGCCCGGGTAATATGGTCCCCAAGGAACTTAAAAAAATACCAATCCTGGGGCACCTGGGTGGCGCAGTCGATTGAGCCTCCGACTCTTAGTTTCAGCTCAGGTTGTGATCTCAGGGTAATGAGATTGGGCCCTGCGTGGGGCTCTGCACTCATTGCAGAGTCTGCTTAGGACGCGTTTTCTCTCTCCTTCTGCCCCTCCACCCCTCCACCCTTCCCCACCCCCGTACTCATGTGCTCTCTCTAAAAAATAAATAAAAATAAAGCTTAAAAAAAACAACAACAATCTTCAGGCCCTCTCAGAATGACTGTGAAGGTAAGTAATGGAGAACTTGTCACACAACCCAGACATCTGATGTGCATTATAAAAAAGATTTTCTGGGGACAATCTATAACATAGGAATATTAGCTCGCTTATTGTGCTGATAGAAAATAATTTGGATTAAAGGAGGCCTTTGACAGGGTCTCACAATTCACACCATGCAGGAAATAGGCTACCTCAAGCTAGGATGTAACATGCCTGCTAACTCCCTTGAACTGAGACACCACCACCGGAGAGTGAGACACAAGGGGGTGCACGTTCTCCCACTGCACTCAGAGAAGGTGCATTCCCTAGCATGCACAGGAAGGAGCTGACGAGAATGACATTGTGAGCACAAATAGCTCATTTCCCATTCAGTGCCCCACTGAAGAATAGAGAAGTGTAAAGGGGTGGACTGTAATCACACAAACCGGAAAAGGATCCCAGGGTTCCTAGGACAGCTAAAAAGAAGGAAAATTTCCCTTAGCTTGGCCCCCCTTCTCTGGCCAAAGGAAAGAATGTGTCCCTAATTAAGGAGAAACTTACATTGCGTGAGGCTTGCTGGTGGTTTCCTTCACATTGACCAAGGACATGGCACCTTTCAGATTTGAAGAGGCAAGGGGAGCTACAGTCAAAAGTAAAAATAGAGGAGACAAGAGTGAGGTGGCAAAATCGTGCCCATTTCAACTCACCTGTCACCTTCAAGAAGCCTTCCTTAAACCCCCAGAGAGAAGTGATCTTAACCTCTATGAATACTTCCAACACTCTGTTTTTCTTAGTAATGTAGTACTTAATAATTTGTGCTGTATTTTTGAGGTTGGTATCTCTGTCATCCCCTCTGCTGGAGGGGAGAGTTCCTGAGAGTGAGGAGCTGAGAATTGTTTAGCTTTGAAGCCTCTAGAGCAGATCTGTAGAAGATACCAGTTGTGAAGAACCAGCTTTTAAAAATCTTTTTTTGGAAACCATAATGTACTAGTACTTTTGTGAAATACAATACAATGAATTAGTAGGAAAATGACCAAGCTCTTGGATGTCATGGCTATAAACATTTCTAAATGCTTACTTTCAACCTCTGTGCTCATTTCATTGTAAATTAGTAACAAATAGTTTGGGGACCAGCATTGGTTCACAGAGCATTCTTTAAGTAGCTCTGCCCTGGCACAGTGGTTATCACAAATAATAAAAACCTTCTGGTATAGTGGTTCTCAATCACGGTTCTCAAAAGAACCCCCTGGAGGGCTTATAAAAAGATAGAAGGACAGCTGGGTGGCTCAATCGGTTAAGCGTCTGCCTTTGCCTCAGGTCATGATCCCAGGGTCCTGGGATCGAGCCCCACATGAGGCTCCCTGCTATGCTGGTAGCCTGCTTCTCCCTCTGCCTGCCACTCCCCCTGCTTGTGCTCTCTCTAATAGATAAATAAAATCTTAAAAAAAAAAAGATAGCTGGGTCCTACCCCCCTGAGTTAGGAGGTCTATGGTAGGGTCTGAGAATTTTCATTTCTAACAAGTTCCCAGGTGATGTGTTTGCTGTTGGCCAGAGACCAACCTTTGAAAATCACCGGACTAAAGACATGAACACATGTCAAGAACACTGTCCCCTTTTGGTGGCCTATCCTCAAAATAGGTAGAACCGCTAAAGCTAAGTGCTAACTTTACCAATGCACCCCTCTAAAGCAATGGTTATATGAGACTAATGAATTGTTGAACACTACATCAAAAACTAATTATGTACTATATGCTGGTTAACTGAACATAATACAAAAATAATAAAGCAATGGTTATCAGCTCCCATGCTGTGGCACACTTACTGAGGGGCTCCAGACATAAGGAAGCTGGGAGAAGCCAGAAGGGTCCATACCTTGGGGCTGTTCTGGGCCCAATTCCTCCACAGGTGGCTGTGCAGATGACGCTGAAGGAGAACACTGGGGCAGTGTTTGAGATGCCCCTACAGATGAAGGCCCCAGGGATGGCCTGGGTGACAGAGATGCCTGGGAGGGTGGGGATCTTGGCGGTGATCCAGTCGTTTGTACCCGCTGCTGTGCTGATACACGTGACAGCACAGCTGTGGAGCTGAGTGGTAAGGGCACAGCTGGGAGTGAGAGAGGGGGCAAGTCAGATGGGGAATGTGATGGTAATGAGGCCAGTGGAGATGCAGGTGACTGCTCAAATGAAGAGACAGGAGGTGAAACAGGTGACTCAGCAGGCCACTCGTGTGTGGATTCAGGTGTCTGCACAGGTGAGGACACAAGTGGACCGTGGCGGCACTTTCCTTCCCCTTCAGGAGCCCACTGTGTGTGAGGTTGTATGGATTCTTCCTGCTCCGTTTGGAGGCTTGTTTGGCTGCGTTCAGGGCACTCATTGCCAAGGGCAAGTTCTATATTGCAGTACACTTCTACACGGGGGAACATCACTCTCTTGGAGGGAGAATTGAGGTAAGCAGCATCTAGGAAAACAACAGCATGGGGTCACAGGTGGCATTACTAACCCCTGGCATCAGAGTGGCATCTGCAAAAAGTGATTTCTCAAATTATTTTCATAAGCAGGATTAGTGCTTTTCACTCGTCTTTCTTTACGTACTCAAATTTATATTGAGTATTTGATTGTGTATTGATTCATTATTCAACAGATATTTATTGAGCATCTATATGTGCCAGGCATTATACCAGGCACTGAGGAGTGAAGGGGACAAAAACAGGTGTGATGGTCCTTGGCCTCTTGGAGCTTACAGTCTGGCTTGGGGTCAGGCATTGACTACCCAAATAATCTCGTTTTAACCAAGACACGTTGTAGGGGAGAAAGGAACATGATGTTAGGAGAGAAGGAAGCAGGGAGGACTACTTTGGGAGGGTTTCCCTGAGGAAGCAACGTTTGAGCTGAGATCTGAAGGGCGAGTGAGGGTCCAGGGGGTGGTCAGGGTGGGATGGGGCGGAGCATTTCAGACAGAGGGAACAGCACACACCAATGTCACAGGTTTGAGGGAGCATGAGGAGGACCTGAAAGGTCAGTGTGGTTGGAGCAAGGATGGGGGCACTGTGGTGAACGATGGAGCTGAGGAGGACACAGGGGCCCGACCATGCTTGTAGACACCACTGAGGGCCCTTGGTTTTCACAGAGGCCATGAAACACCTATTGGCAGTGGGGATGCTGCTCTGTCTCTGGCTTTGACAAGATCACTGTGGCTGCTGTGTGGAGACTCACTGAGAAGGGCATAGGGGACTCAGGGAAACCTGTAAGGCTGCTGTGGAGAGCTTAGGGCTTGCACCTGGAAGGAGAGAGAAAGAAATAGAAGACTCTGTTTAGGAGGTAAAATAAATGAGAATTGGCAATGGATTGACTGGGGGAAGAGAGGAGGTAGCTGGCTTGCACAACCAGGTGGAGGTTGGTGCTGACAGGGTGACCATGGAGGGGATGGGTTAGGGGAGCAGTGAGGAGGGCACAGTTTATAGTTTGTTTGGGGATATATGGATTTTAAGGGGTCTTAGAGATGTCCAAGGAGAGATGACAAGTGAGCAGTTGGATAGATGGGTTTGGATCTCAGAGAAGAGATGAAGGTTAGAGGTGTCCATTTGGGAGCCCATCTATGGATGGTCACTGAAGCTGTGATGGTGGCCATGGAGGAGATTGCCTAGGGAGGAAAAGCAGAATGAGAAGAGGAGGGTGCCAGGACTGAGCGAGGAGAGGGGAAGAGGGGAACCCAGGCCAAGTTGCTAAAATAGGCAAGACTGGGGTAGACCTACAAAATGCTGGTAAGGATCCATTTGAGAGGTGGGGGTTGGATATGTAAAAGAGAGATGAAATAATGGATAATTCAAAAGTGCTGAGATGGGAAGGGGTCTGAGCACAGGTACAGGGTGGGCTTTAGGCAAGAAGAGGGTTGCTTCCTTTAATGTTCTAAGAAGGAGGGAACAGAGCAGGCTGAGTTTGTATATTCGGTAGCGCAAAGTTGAGAGAACTTCTCTCTGTTAGTTTTGCTTTTCTCTGTGAAGTTGTTTGGAGGCAAGGTCCTCGCCTAGGGATCAGGGAGAGGGGAAGTCTTGAGGTGGTGATTGCAGAGGAGGAGAGAATAGGTTGCCAAGACAAGTACAGATGACTGCATTTTGTGTAGAAATTCACAAGCTAATTCTAAAATTCATATGGAATTAGAAAGGACCTAGAATAGCCTAAACAACTTCGAAAGAAAAAAAAAAAAAACAAAGATGGAAAACTAAGACGACCTGGTATCAAGATTTACGATAAAGCTTCAGGGATCAAGACAGTATGATATTGACCTAAAGACAGACAAATAGATCAATGGCACAAAACAGAAAGTCTAGAAATACACCCATAACATATAGAGACAACTGACTTTACTTAATAGAGAAAGCATAGTTTTTTCAACAAACAATGCTGGCAGAAGTGGACATCCATATGCAAAAAAAAAAAAAAAAAGAACCTTGTTTTATATCTTGAACCATATTCAAAAATTAACTCAAAATGGAATATAGACACAAATGAAAAACCAAAAAGCTATAAAACTTCTAGAAGGAAACATAGGAGAAAACCTTTTTGTGATCTTGAGTAAAGCAAAGGTTTCTTAGGTAAGACACCAAAAGCATGATCCATAAAGAAAGCAAATTAATAATATGGGCCCCATCAAAATTTAAAACTCCTTTTTAGAAAACTGTTAAGGAATTGAAAAGAGAAATCACAGACTGAGAGCAAGTATTTGCAAATTATATTTCAGATAAAGGGCATTTATCTAGAATACATAAAATCTCTTAAATAAGAAAACAAACAATTCAATTTTTAAGATGGGTAAAAGAGCCCACAAAAAAAGCATCCAATGGCCAAAGGAAATCTGAATATATGGTCTTCAGTTAATAATAACCAATATTAGTACATTGGTTGTAAACACTACACTATACTATATACCGAATTTTATATGTACCATACTATAACTTCTAACAAATGTAAGACATAATAATAGGGAATGTGGAATACATGGAGGCTCTCCATACTATTTTCATATTTTTTTCTGTAAATCTAAAACGATTCTTTTTTTTTTGAAGATTTTATTTATTTATTTGATAGAGAGAGTGAGAGAGCACAAGCTGGGGGAATGGCAGGCAGAGGGAGAGGGAGAAGCAGGCTCCCCGCCGAGCAGGGAGCCCAATGCAGGGCTTGATCCCAGGACTCTGGGATCATGACCTGAGCTGAAGGCAGACACTTAACCATCTGAGCCACCCAGGCGCCCCTAAAACGATTCTTAAAAATAAAGCTTATTAAATGGCTAGGTGGGAAATGACCAAAAGAGTTGAACCCTTCAACAAAGAAATATATAGATGACTAATAAGCAAGTGAAAAGATGCTCAACATCATTAGTCATTAAGAAAATACAAATTAAAATCACAGTAAGATACCACCACACAACTATTCACATGGCTAAAATTAAAAAGACTGACCATTTCAGGTGTTGGTGATAATAGGGAGAAACTGGAACTCTCATGCATTGCTGGTGGGAATGTAAAATGGTACAACCACTTCAAAAAACAATAAAAGTTAAACATACCTTCTTTGTATATGTCCTTAGTATACATCCCAAAGAATTGAAAATAGGATATTTGCATACCTGGGTTCATTGCATCATTATTCACAATGGTCAAGAGGAAGAAGCAATTCAAATTGTTCATTAATAAAGAAAATGTGGTACGTACACAGGGGTACGTCACATGCTATGAAATGGATAAACCTGGAGGACATTACAACAACGAAATACACCAGTCACAAAAAGACAAGTACTGTATGATTCCACTGATACGAGGTATCTGAAGTAGTCCATCTCCTAGAAATAGAAAATAGAGTGGTGGCAGCCAGGGCCCAGGAGAGGGAGAAATGAGGAACTGCTGATCCATGGGTAGAGAGTTTCAGTTTTGCAAGAAGAAAAAGTTCTGGAGATTGGTTGTACAATGTAAATGTACTTAACAATACTGAACTCTACACTTAAAAATGGTTAAGATGATGGGGTACCTGGCTAGCTCAGTTGGAAGAGCAGGCAACTCTTGATCTCAGGTTTGTGACTTCAAGCCCCATGTTGGGTGTAGAGATTACTTAAAATTAAAAAATCTTTAAAAAATGGTTAAGATGGTAAATTTTATGTTATGTGTTTTACCCTGATTATACATATATATAATTGTATATTACATAAATATAGATTAAATGTACATCCACCATACCATCTAGACATTCCACTCCTAGGTATTTACCCAAGAGAAATGAAAGCATATGTTCATACAGCAGCTTTATTCATAATAGCCCAAACTGGATACAACCTAAATGTCCATTAATGGGTGAATGGAGAAATGAACTGTGGGGTTTTCATAAATGGAATGGAATGCAAAAAGGAATGAACTATTTATACATGCAATAACATGATGAATCTCAGCATAATTATACTGAGTGAAAGAATGCAGACAAAACAGAGCCCATACTGGAAGTCCATACTGGAAATTTCTATAACGACAGAAAGTAGATTAGGGGCACTGGGGGAAGTTGGGAAGGGTCACAAAGGAGCATGAGGAAAACTTTGGGCATGCGGATGATGGTTCACTCTCTTGAATGTGGTGTTGGTTTCACAGGGGTGTGTGTGTGTGGGGGGGAACTTAAATTATGAGAGGGAGGAAGGGTGCAAGAGAAGGAGGAATGCCAAGAGGGAAAGAAGGAAGGAAGGAAGGAAGGAAGGAAGGAAGGAAGGAAGGAAGGAAGGAAGGGAGGGAAGGAGGGTGGGAGGGTGGGAAGGAGGGAGGAAGGGAGGGAGGAAGGGAGGAAAGGAGGAAGGAAGGAAGGCAGGCAGGCCTGGCCAGGCACGCCTGGATGCCAGATGGATAATTTTAGACATGGCATCCTCTGAGCTCCAACCTCACTCAACGCCCACATCCACATGTCTGTGTGGGGAATGTGGATTTTCAAGCATGCCAACAAGCAGTGCCCTTCCCTTTGGCAGAAGGCTGCTGCCAGGGGAGGCCAACGGTGGAGAGGGAAGCTCGCCTGGAATCATTAGGCAGATGTGAGCCCTGAGGAGGGCAGAGAAGGGGGACGTCAGGATGTGAGTTGAGGAATTGAGGGTGACACTTTGCGGGTGTGGCCTTCTGCCAGAGCTGACCCCCATCTAGAAAGCAGTAGGGTGGGAGGCTGGAGCGGACTCCCATTTTTCTGTTCCCAGATGGCAGGTGGGAATTAAGAGTGTGGCTCTGGGCACCAGCCGCAATTTCTCAGGATGCGTCATACCTCCCGCTCGCATCTGGTGCCGAGAGGAAAATCCAGCCCTATCAAACCCGAGGGGATTTAGGGGTGGGACTGAAGAAACCTGCACTGAGAGAGCGATGCAAACACTGGCAAATCGGAAGAGGAATCAAAACTAGCTGGTAGCCAGCAGGAGACATTTTCTTCCTGATGAGTTGTGTCAGTTCCTCCTTGGAGTGATTCCAGGGCCCCTGGAAAAGCCCACCATCCTCCATGCACTGCCCTGATTCTTTAGTGAATGCCCGAAATGCTCCTATTAGAGCCTCATCCTTGGGTTTAAGACCGCCATGTATACCACGGAGTCCACATCAGCTAAGGGTGGAAGGGTGGGGGAGCGCGAGCCTGCACTGGGTTCCTCCCAGAGGCTGGCCCAGGGGCTACTGAGAATTGGGGGAGACCAGAGATGCTAAAGCAAGGCACTTTGTAATTCTCCCCGGGGCTTGCCCTGAGAGGAAGAGAAAGAAGTTCTAGGGGAGAGACAGGTACGGTGGTAACCAGGCAGCCAGGCTGGAACCTGAGGTGTAAAGGGGTTTCCTGAGGCATAGAATTGGTCCCAAATCAGGGGATCCCCCAGCCCCATGTCCCCAGTACACATCATCACTGAGGAAAGAGTGAAGGGGCTTCCCGGCTGGGGGTGGAAAGGACCCCAGGTCCTCGCCAGCCCCTCCCCTTCCTGAGGCTCCGTAGGTGAGACCCCATGTCAACCCCCCACTGACACCCCTCGGGTGTTCCTCCTTTTGGACACTTGGATCTTAGTTTTCACAGCTGTCACCCATGTCAGTGTGCAGGAGGAGGGGGGGATGCTGTCCGAGTAGAGTCAGGGTTAGGAGGAGTCTGTCCTGCAGAAAGGTGAGAGGAGGGGCCTGTCTTCCAGGTCAGAGGGTCAGTGGGCTGCACTGACTGTGTCTAGGAATAAAATTCTGAGGTGGGTTCCATGATCAGCCCCATTATACAGATGAGAAAACCGAAGTCCCAGGAGATGAATTACCTGCTCAAGATCACACAGTTAGTAGGTGTCAGGAACCAGGATTTAACCCTTTTTACAGATTAGGAACCAAGACAGAGAGGGCAAGTGATTTCCCTGAGTTCACACAGCCAGGGAGGATGAGAATCCTGGCCCAGGCCTACTTGCCTCCAGTACCCACATTCCTTCCATCCTTCTCTCCTGCCCACCCCCTCCCTTGTTCGGAGAATGGCCCCAGGAGAAAGGAAAGAGTCAAGACAAAGGGAGCTTGGGAATGCAGGAAGTAACTTTGAAGGAAAAGAAGTCAACACATCCTAGGGAAAAACCCACATTCAATCTCATAAATCTCACTGCTAAAATATATTTTTTTGAACTACGTACACAAAAAGTTCACCACAGCATTGCTTAGAACAGTGAGCATTTGGAAACTCAAAGGAATGATCAAAGTTTTCTGTACAACTGTGATGGACTATCACACGACTGCCAAAAAAGACGGTCACAAAGACCACATGACAACATGGGAAACAAAAAAACCACTTCATACAGCATTAGGTAAACACCCTCCAGCCCAGGAACCCTTTTTTCTGGAACTACGTTCTATGGAAACAATTCTGAGTATGGAAAAGCTTTTTTCCTTCCCCTTTATCGAGGATGTTTGCCATGGTCTTCAATGAGGTAGCGTGTGTAATACCCGCCATGGGAATCTCCCACGCAGGGTGTAGGGACCACACTTGCTAAACCAACACAAGGCACAGGCTCTTCCCTCTCATTTGTTGATCAGTGTCACTCAGAGTCTTACGCGAGTATAAACTAGTCATGTCTGGTTCTCCGTTAACAACGCGGTTGTTAATAAATAAAGTGAAATGACACGAAAACGGAATTCTGCGGGAAGGGACGAGCTACGTGTTTCCTAAGCGCAGTCCTTAAATCCAGACAGGTATCTGTACAAAAACCGACCCACTGTCCCAGCAGTGACCCTGGAAATCACTTTTCCAAGAAGATCCTAATTTTGGGCCACAGTGGGCTGTCCGGGACAACGCAAGCTGCCGGGTCCCTGCGCCACTCCGGCCCTCCTGGGGAAGGGCGGCCCGGTTCCCAAATCCGAAGGGAAGGCTCCTCGACTCAGCCTCCACTTCCGGCGTTAGCCCCGCCCCCAGCCCACCCCTTCCTGGGGCCCCACCGCGTACTTACTCAGCCGCCTCAGGTAGGAAACGGCGTCTTCGTATCCTCGGTAGTAGTAGTTGTGCAGGATCTGCAAGGAGGGGACAGCAGGACAATGACTGAGGCTGCAGCAGTGGAGAGAGCCGAGGTCCCCTCACCCAGAGCAGCTCCTTTCATTGCCCTTGGGCTTTATTTGATGGACTTTTAAAAATGTACCATCCAGCGTCCCGTCCCTCACTATCTGCTAAGAAGTGGGGAGCTGTTACTGATCGTGTCTCCAAAGGGACAGTGCAGTAATGTGTTAAATCATTTACAGCTGGTCATCAGCTTCCCCTGGGCCAGAGAGGGTGAGATGTTTATAGTAGAATCAGAGAATGTGCATTTGGGCCATAAGAAGAGCCGAGTTTGGAGACTGGCTTCAAATCCCAGTGTTGCCACCTGTTGGCTGTGTGGCTGTAACCTCTCACGGCCTCAGTTTCCTCACCTCTAAAATGGGAATAACGATAGTATCTACTGCAGAGGATGCTGGAGGGTTACATGAGATATTGCTCACAAAGCCTTTCCATAAAGGGCCAGATAGTAAATATTTGGGGTTTTGAACACCACAGATAGTCTGTCTCTTCTTGTTCTTCTTGTTCTTGTTCTTGTTCTTCTCCCCCTTCTCCTCCTTCTTCATCATCTTCTTCTTCCCCCCTCCTCCTTCTTGTCCTCTTTTCCTTCTTCCTCTTCTCCTTCTCTTTCTTCTACTTCTACAAACCTCTAAAAATGGAAAGCCCATTCTGAGCTCACAGGCTATATAAAAACAAGCCACCTTGAGAATGAAAGTCAAGCACTGACTGTGAGCAGAAAGTCAAGTTTGAGAGGCTCTGATGACTACAATATATTTGTTCTACCTTTCTTGAACTGCCTATTGATGGATTGCTTTTATGAGGGTAAACAGACATAATCTTTACTGATAAATTAGTGTAGGCAGATACCGGAATTCCTAACGCAACAGTTGGAGGACAAAGAGTCAATCAGATTAATAAAATATCTTGTGTATCCATTGCCTGACTAAGCATAATAGTGTTTTGATTATGAGTTTTGTAAACAATAATTAGACTGTAAGTCACAAAACTGGCTTAGAGGAGTTATTCAAACAACAATTACTAAGAACCTTCTATAAGCAATGCCCTCTGTAGACACAGTGAGTGTAGTCAAAGAAATGAGTAAAACTTGGTGCTTGCTCCCAAGATCACACTTCTTGCCAAAGAAAGACATGCATTTTGTTAAGACATGTAGACTTAATTTTTTGGGGCAGGTTTGGAAAGGTTATGATCTCAGGGTGCTGGGATTGAGCTCCGAGTCAGGCTCCCTGTTCAGTGGGGGTCTGCTTCTCCCTCTCCCTTTGCCCCTCCCCCTCACTCATGCTCTCGCTCTCTCTCTAATAAATAAATAAAATATTTTTTTTAAAAAGTAAAATAAATAAAATTGAAAACAAAACCCAAAACACAAGCCACTGGCTGGATTTGGCCCATGGGCCATACTTGCTGAAGCCTACATCGCATGTCAGAGTGGAAAATTTCAGGTAACATCTTATCAGCAGTTCTGACATCATCTCATTTTACAGGGGAGAAAATTGAGGCTGGGAGCACTTAGGGGCCTCGTTCAAGGTCACATAGCTAGTTAGCAGCAGCAAGGCCAGGATACAGGTTTAGGAGGAAGTTTAAGGAGACACAGACGGAACTGCATGGACCCCAGTGGCTCCCCCAGGCTCTGTCAGCTTCCCCCGGTCCCCCTCCCTTCCGGGCCCCTCCTCTCACGAGCAGGTCCGGCGGGAACAGGGCATGGGTCATCCTGGCGATGTTCTCCAGGGAGAACTGGAAGGAGCAGTTGAACATGCGGAAGTCGTGGAAGATGGCGGGGCAGTCCCGGGGGCAGATGTCCTGTTGCCCGCTGAAGGTGGAGATGGTAATGGCGTCAGTCCAGAAGGAGCAGGGCTGCATGCCTGTGAAGCCCCCGTCAATGTAGCGCTATGGGGGACAGGCAGAGTCGTAAATGCTCATGGGGTCAGAGGTCTTCTTCCCCACTCAGGGAGTCCAGCGAGGAAATGGGTCCCTTGGGACAAGCCTTGAGGCCAAGGTCCAGGTGGGTGAGTGGTGTGTCCACCATGGCCCCTGAACTCCCAGCCCAGTGCTCTGTCCCTACACTGTCTCCCCTCAGCCATCTCAATGGTGCTGAGCCTTTGGGGAGAGGGCCATTCATACTCTGGATAAAGCACAAGCAAATGCTGTCCTGTCACAGCTCCCCCTCCCAGGCTACCCCTCCTCAGCCACTCAACTACCAAGGGCAGGGTGGGGGAATGGAGCCTGTGCCCATGGCCTTTTGAGAAGGTGAACACATGGTGGGTCTGAGCAGGTTGGGAAATATCCCCTCTTGCAGACTGCTGTGGGTCCAAACTGCCTCCCTCTGTTGAGGTCGGGTATCCTCAACACTCTCCAGAACACCCCGACCATGGCCTGGCCACCAGCCACCACATAGCCCTTCCCTCTTGTGGCTTCTGTTGCCTCAGTTGTGAACAAAGGATCACAGATACTGAGGTTCTAACTCTCTGGGATGCCTGAGAAGTACACAGCTGACATGCACAGTATGTGCTCCATTTCCTAGCTGAATCCTGATTTCTGGATCTCATTTTCTTTCTATATAAAATGAGGAAGGGGCATGGGTAAATCCTCCTACTCAGAGCTTGGTCTGAGGACCAGCAGCACTGGCCTCAGGCGTCAGCTGAAGCTGGTTGGAGGTGCAGAGCCTCTGGCCCCGCCCCAGGCCTAGGGGATCAGAATTTGCATTATTTTACAAGATCCCCTCCCCCACTGGTCATTCAAGTACACTAGCCTAGATGACTTTAAAGGTCGCCATCATTCACGGTTCCAGGTACCAATGTCACAGGGTCCGTATTCTACACTCTCTGTCAAGTATGGGAAAATCCAGCAAGCCTATGGGGTCTTGACTAGCCAGGCTCAGTAATGGGCTGGTGGGCACAGAGTGAAGCCCAATGTATGGAGGGAAAGTTCATCTGAAAGCCCCAGAAATCCATCTATACGGGGAATTCTAAGTAGAAAACACAAGAATCTTTCCAATTCTTGGTCTTCCCACTGAATTCTGAGCCCACCCCTCTACTCTCCCAGATGCGGACCACAGGGCACTCCTGGGTACTGGCTCACCCTCTCCCATGCCAAAGCACTCACCACACCACGGTAAGTTGGGGGGATGAGGCCACAGTACACGGGGACAAAGCAGCTGCAGTAGAGGGCCTGTGGGGAGAGAACCGGTGGAGATGTGTGAGGCTCTGGCGGCTGGGTGGGGAGAGCTCACCGGCAGGCCTCTGGGCCACCACCAGCCGGGTCCTTCTTAAATCCAACGCAGAGGCACTATCCTGGGGAGCGGAGCCCCAAGTTCAAGTTCTGGCCTGGCCCCAACCAGCTTGGTTCCTTGTTAACCTACTTGGTAGTCTGGGCCCGATATCCCAACTTTAAAGAGACAAGGCAGCCTCAGTGACCTCCAGGGCTCCTTCTGGCACCATATCTCCATGAATCCAGTGGAATTTAACAACCATTAATGTGTATTTGGCCAGGGCCGGGCTCTGGAATCAAAGGAGAGTGAGATACGTACCCTTGGGAATGCTCAACAAGGGAGAGTAAGCAAGTAGGTGATAGTACACAGGGTGACAAGGGCTGGGATGGAGGTGAGCATGGGCATCGTGGCCTCTAAGGAGGAGTACCCAAACCAGGAGGGTGTGGGGCAGGCAGATGATGAAGGGAAGTTGCCAGGCAGAGTGACTAGAGTCTTGTCAAACAGGTGAAATGAGCTGGGAAGGAGGGAGGGGCATTCCAGGCAGAAGGCACAGCAGGTGCAAAGATCCAAAGGTCTGCTTTGTGTGTGGTTTGCTCTGGTTTGCAGAAGTAAGAGCGGGAGCTGATAAGAGGTGGTTGGGAGAGAAAAGTCTTGAAGAGCTGAGTGCTAATAAATCCAGGGGGACATGAGGTAGGTTTTGGAGGTGTCCATGCCCACTGCCCATCCATTCCCCACCCCCGGGATCATGGCCATGCCAGCATGGGGCTGTGAGGCTACGTGGCAAGGGCCTTGTATTTGGGAGAGGAGAGAGGAGTGGAAGTATGGGACGAGGGTCATGCCACTTAACCCTTTTGTCCTGAAAGAAAACTGGGCATATCCACAGCACTTGCCAACAATAATAATTCACAACTAAGATTTATATTAATGAGCACAGAATGGTGCACAGAGCCCCCATTCCTGCATGATAACCCATTTGGTGATAATTCAGTCCTTTTATCAAGAGCCATTGGATGGGAGGGGACAGAATGGGGGGCTGTTTCCACAAACTGGGACCCGCCCCCTCTTCTGGCTCCTGCACCCTGGGCCCCGCCCCTTGCCTCGATGAGCTCTTCCTTGGATGTGTACTCTGAAACCACGACAGTCTCTCCATCTGTGAAGCGAGTGAGGGACACGTGGAGCTTCCCTGTGGCCGCCTTGTAGGAGTCTTCTGGCAGGACCCTGTACAGAAACTGCCGCATCATCTGCACCATCTTGCAGGACGGTGACAAGGGCCCCAGGAAGGATTTCTTCACCTCCGCGACACCTACATTGAGGACTCTGAGGTACTCATCTGTGGAGGAAGCAGAGAGGAGAGGGCAGGTCAGCAGCTGGCCACCTCATCCTGCATCCAAAAGATGGGAAACCCCTAGAATTCTGAAGCAGGGTTGGTCTCAGGAATCGACCTGTTATTCTGCACGCGAGGAAAGCAAGGCACAGAATTAAGTCACTGGCTCCAGAGACCCACAGCTCGTCGATGGCAGAACTAGACCTCAGGGAGGGGTGATCCTGAAGCCATTGCATCCATCTTCCCTTTAGAGCCCCTGGCACAGGCCAGAGAGAGAGAAGGCTGTGAGGTACGGAGCACAAGCCATGCCAGGCCAAGCTGCACGTGTCTCCAGGACTGGGAGAGGAATCTTCTCCCTCTTTCTGAGAGAAGCACAGCCAGGTCATATGAGGGCCTACATGTGCCAGATGGGGCTTGGAGGGCAGATGTATTGTTAAAGGGATTGCAGAGGAAGGTGTAACCTGTCCCCACCCCAGTCCCCAGAATTCCCCTGGGGAAGTTAGGGCCGTAAGCTCGATGAGAACTGCTATCATGCCAGATTCTCACAGCAACACTATGAGGTAGGCATTTCTAGCCTCATTTCACCTATCAGGGGCCTGAGGCTTGGGGAGATAATATAACTTGCCCAAGGTCAACCGCCTGGCAAGTGAACAAAGTGGGATTTTAACCTAGAGCGTGTGACCCCAGAACCCATACTCCTTTCATGACACTAAGCCACAGGCTTCTAGAGCCGGACCTGTACCTGCTCCTAGACAATTGCTGCTTATTTCTACCCTGTGCAAGCCCTCCGGCGAAATTAGAAGCAGCAATAGCTCTGAAAAGGATTGCTAACTTTTAAAAAATGAATATTTAACTGTAAAACATCCTACACAGAACTTTCTTACAATTAGTGTCATGTAGCAATGCTTATTTGGGAAGTTAAGTGGTTATGAGCTCTCTGCCAGTGGAGGTAATCAAGCAGAGGTGGGACAAGTACCTCAGAGAACTTCTCAAAGGGATTCCTGCCTGAGTGCAGAGATTCCTTCCAACGTGGAGATTCCAGGATTCTTACGGGTGCCTGACAATATGCCTGGGAAGTCATCACAGGGGACATTATTTTCCCATTTACAAATAGGGCAGCTGAGGCACAGAGAGGTTAAATGATTTGCCCAAAGTCACACACAGCAATTTGGAGACAAACCAAAGCCAGGGCCGCGCTCCTCCTTCCGTGTTTTACAGTTCACGATAAGTCCTCGTTAATCCTGGAGGCGGTACGATAAAGGGCTTCAGCATCATTTTACAGATGTAGAAACCAAGGCAGAGAAAAGCTAAGTGCCTCGCCCGAGGTCAGACAGCCCGGCCATGTTTGTTCTGACTCTAAACCCCACCTTCTTTCCCTGCGTGTTGGACTGATCCCAGAGGCTGAGCGAGCCTGGGTTGCCATAGTAACGGCCTTTTTTTCCCCCTCTCCCTCACCAACATTCAGAATCACAACTGCATATGTGTAGTAGGGACTGACCTGAGCCACAGAGCATCTTGGCTTTCACCCTGTTACAGGGGAGGGTGCTCCTGGGAGGTGGGAAGGCCCTGCGATTTTATTTTTATTTATTTATTTATTTATAATATTTTATTTATTTATTTGAGAGAGAGAATGAGAGAGAGAGCACACGAGAAGGGGGAGGGTCAGAGGGAGAAGCAGACTCCCTGCTGAGCAGGGAGTCCAATGCGGGACTCGATCCTGGGACTTGATCCTGGGACTCGATCCTGGGATTCCAGGATCATGACCTGAGCGGAAGGCAGTCGCTTAACCAGCTGAGCCACCCAGGCGCCCCCAGGCCCTGCGATTTTAGCAAGCTTAGCTTTACCGTGTGCCAACTTGTACCAACTGCATTTCCCCTCAAGGGAGGGTGATGGCAAACTCACCGTCCTTATGTAGTTACAAAGCAACTGAGCATTTAGATACCAAGGGGCTAGGTCACTGAGTTCTGGCCCCACAAGACCAGTCAGGATGGAGAGTCAAACGGGGGGGCATGATGTTTTGGGAATTCTTTTTTTTTTTTTTTTTTTTGATATTTTATTTATTTATTTGACAGAGAAAGCAAGAGGGGAACACAAGCATGGGGAGTGGGAGAGGGAGAAGCAGGCTTCCCGCAAAGCAGGGAGCAAGATGTGGGGCTCCATCTCAGGACCCTGGGATCATGACCTGAGCCAAAGGCAGGGGCTTAACAACCGAGCCACCCAGGCGCCCTGGTTTTTGGAATTCTTTTTTTTTTTTTTTTAAGATTTTATTTATTTATTTGAGAGAGCGAGAATGAGTGAGAGTACATGAGAGGGGGGAGGGTCAGAGGGAGAAGCAGGCTCCTCGCTGAGCAGGGAGCCCGATGCGGGACTCGATCCTGGGACTCCAGGATCATGACCTGAGCCGAAGGCAGTTGCTTAACTAACTGAGCCACCGAGGCGCCCGGTTTTTGGAATTCTTAATGAGCAGCTTGAGTGCCCTTGCTTGGGTTGGTGGCCTTTCCCACAATGCCTCTGAGCCAGGAGGACCTGGTTCAGCTTGCCCCTATACACCTGGACTCCCCGCAGGAGATGCTCGCTGGGACGGATGGAAGGAAATTTGTTCCCATTGCACAAGACATACATGTTCCTTCGGGGAAAAATAATTTTTAAAAATGCAGATATGGGGGTGCCTGGGTGGCTCAGTCGGTTAAGCATCTGTCTTCTACTCAGGTCATGATCCCAGGGTCCTGGGATCGAGCCCTGCGTCGGGCTTCCTGCTCAGCGGGGAGTCTGCTTCTCCCTTTTCCTCTCCCTCTGTCCGTCTCCCCCAGCTTGCATTCTCTCTCTGTCTCAAATAAAATAAATTAAATAAATAAAATATGCAGAATATGCAAAAAGAAAAAATTAAAGTGGAATCTTTGGATTGGAGGGAATCCCTTCAACCAGAGATCAACATCTCACTTACGTCTTCCTAGACTATATATTTTATATGTATTCTTACTTAGAAGAATATTTACATGAAATCATACTATATACATTATTTTGTAACTTGGCTTTGTTTTTTTTAACCTAATAGATCATATCTTTCCACATCAATAAGTACCTATTTATGACCCAATTTACAAGCGGCACGGAAAGCTATTGTAAGGTTATACCATTATTTGCTGAGCAGGTGCCCAGTAGGGGTTGTTTCTTTGCTTTTTCTAAACAATGCTGCAGGGAATAATCTCATGCTAATTTTTCCCCCTATGCCCTTAATTATTGTCCTTAGGATAAATTCCTAGAGGTGGGAATGTTAGGTCAAAGGCATGCATATTTCATCTTGTACTGCTTGTTTTAATCATGGCTTTTGTGTATCATCCATATACAGTCCACTTTCATCTCTTCAGGAATGGTGATGGGTGGGGACAGGGACAAAGCAGTGGGCAAGACAATAGAAATAGTATAGATATCTCTAGGATACTCATATCTGAAAGTGGTGCTGTCTAGAAATTAGCAATGCTCTAGCCAGGATCATGTAGTCAAGGAGGGAGGGGGCAGGAGATTGACTCTTCTCCCACTCAGGTGCCCAGTTTCACATTCTTTCCTGCTGCTGTGGCTCAAAGGCTGCCTTTATCACTAGCTCTCCTTGCTTTTTTTCAGATCTCTCTCTGTGTCTCTGTCTTCAGAATCTCCGACCATCCCTTTCTCTGTCTTTCTTTGTCTGTCTCTTCTTTCTTTGTCTGTCTCTTCTTTCTTTTTCTTTCTTTCTTTCTTTCTTTCTTTCTTTCTTTCTTTCTTTCTTTCTTTCTTTCTTTCTTTCTTTCTTTCTTTCGTTATTTATTTGAGAGAGAGAGCACAGAGGGAGAGGGAGGGGGAGAAGCAGACTCCCTGCTAAGCAAAAAGCCCAATGCAGGGCTTGATCCCAGGACCCTGAGATCATGGAGATCATGCCCTGAGCCGGAGGCAGACACTTAAATGTGTCTCTCCCTTCTTTCTCTCTCTTTTCCCAGACAAGGGAGAAGCAACTAATCTTCTTGTTAAACAAGTCTCTGTTGGTAGAAAGTCAAGTGTTAAGCATAGCAATTGCTGGGTGCTGGGAGAAAGGATAAATTTAGCTTGCTTCTTTATGCATCTCTGTACTTTCCAGCACCTTCTCCCATTTAAAGGCCTCCTTCCAAGCTGCAGGCTGCTGGGCTCTGAAACACAGTATCCCACACTGACCACAGCAAGATGGGATTTAAAAGCAGCACCGCAGGAGACTCAAGGTTGGCTCTCCCACCCCCAACCCACACTTGCTACATTCACTTCTGCTTCCTCCCACTTCCTTTCACACCTTTTATTATCTAAGAGCGGTCTGTCTCCTAAGCCAAGAAGATTCTATGGGGGAAGATCCTTATGGTCCTCCCCTTTCTAAGGCCTATCACTGTGGTTTGTCTATGGGAGGCCCTTCAGAAACCTTTGCTATTAGCTGGGAACTCCTCAAGGGCAAGGATGGGCCATACTCACTTTTGCCTACCAAGCCTCCCACGACCCCTGGTGGGTGCCCAATATTTGTTCAGTAAAAACTGACACGGAGGAAAAGCAAGTGATGGAGATGCTCACAAGGAAGAGCTACTCGATGTCATTACCCAGTAAAAGCTTGAAGGCAAGATCATCCCAGATAGATGGATAGATAACAAGGTCAACTGTATTGGTAACTGTGGCCAGTTCATCAAGTTTTATGAGTCTATTGTGCCAAGAATTTCAATAGAAAAATAAATAAATAAGATCCAGGGACTAGGAGATTTCGAAGGGCATTTGGAAACAACTCCAGGTCTCAGCCACTCGGAGAGTCTTCTACTCTTTTCTAGGACCAGATCCATTTTGTGGAAAGAGCTCAGGCTGTGGAGCCAGGGGATGTGGTTTAAATCCCAGCTTCACCACATACTATCTGGGCCATCACTGGCAAGTCAAATAACTTCTTCCAGTCTCAATTTTGCCACCTATAAAATGGGAATAATAATACCTTAAGTGGGTTGTTATGAGGCAGATTGTTTTTTAAAAGT